CCTGTCTCGGCCTCCCAAAGTGCTGGGATTACAGGCTTGAGCCACCGCGCCCAGCCAATCATGACTTCTTATATGCCATGCAGAATTCTTACCATGAATTTATAATCTGCAGTATTAAAAATGTTTCCCTTGTTGCTGTTGAACGTGGGAAGATGTGGATACTCAAGATTTCTGTTGGGGGAATGTTCTTAGTAAAGACGGAGAACATGTAATGTTGAGGTTTCATATGTGTTCATTAGCTCTATTCAGAACAGGATTAAGAAAATCCTCATTTAAACAGGATGGCATTTATTACCCTGAAAGTTCTGAAAAAAAAATTATTGGGCGATGCTTTCTAGGGTGCTAAAGAAAGACTACTTTAAATTGTTATTAAAAATTTCAGAACATAGAAGATATCTGCATCTTAAACTCTGCATAAAATTGATTTTTCTGTATGGGTAAATTCAGACTATACTTTTTGGGGGGCAATATCTCAGCAGTGATGCTGTGTTATTTGGTGTGCATCAGCACATCATAAACATTTGTCCTCACGCAGTTGATTTTAAAATTTACTTCAAGAGCTCTCTGAAATATTTATTTCAGTATAGAGTTAATTATTTTTCTCTTCATTATTAAGTATCTTTATGTAGCTAAAGAAGAGCTGTGCATAAACCATCACATTTAATCTGGTAGCTGCCTTTCTTTCTTAGGTTTTGTTTGCATATGTCTATCTTTGGAAAATGAAGACTCTTTGTTTACAGGCCAGAAAAATTGGTAAAACTCAGACTCTTCCACTTACTGGATGTTTGACAAAATATTCTTTTTGGGCCAAACACATTGGCATTACTAGTGAGCTTGTTAGACATTCAGAATCTCCGACTTTATTTCACATCTTCTGAAAATAAAAATCTGCACAAGATCTCCAGTTTATTGTTCACATTGAAACTTGAGAGGGGCCGTCTAACTCAACATATCATTTTTGCCTGAAAAATATGCACTACTCATTCTTTGTGATGCAAATATAACACTAAAAAATGTACATGTTTGTGTTTATGCCTTTAGTTTTATACCTTATTGTTCATAAAATTATCATATATATACTAGTATTGTGGATCTTAAACCATTCTCTTCTCAGAGTTAGAGAATACATTAGAGAATATTTCTATGTTGAGAATGTTGGATGATTTCAGTCATTCCTGTAAGTCAGAACCAACTTTCTTTACTCTCTCATTTAACCTTAATTCAAATGATAAATTCTACCCGTGGACACTTGTAAATATGTGTGTATGTGTGTTTTTCAGGGGCCGTTGACATTTAGGGATGTGGTCATAGAATTCTCTCAGGAGGAGTGGCAATGTCTGGACACTGCTCAGCAAGATTTGTATAGGAAAGTGATGTTAGAGAACTTCAGAAACCTGGTCTTCTTGGGTGAGAATAACTTTAATGCACCATTCCTTATATACACTAAAGGTTTCATTTCTCCATTTTTGTAGAATAATTTTTGGTAATTTATGCTTTGCATAAATGAGTTTCTGATTCCTGTTTTCAAAAAATCTCGAGGAATTATCTGCGTAGAAAAAAAAATTTCCTCAAGATGTTTTATCTTAGCCTGAACTTTTTGCATTCCTGAGCTGGTCTGTACCCTTCACTCTAGAGTAGTGGTAGTTTCAGAAATTTAGTAGTATAAAATATTGTTGCCCGTATGTTAAAATCTATTTGCCACCACTAATTTTTGATTCATAAGTACTGAGTAGTGAAATTAAGGGCCTACAAATTTAAAATATTTTCTAAATGTTAAGAACTTTCTGTCATTAAATAGAATTTTGGGATGATTTTCTAGAATACTCTATTACATCCTCTTTACTAAGCACAGTAATAGGTAGGTAATTAGAGAATATGAGCAAGATTCATGTTACTTATTTTTAATAAACCAGGTATTGATGTCTCTAAGCCAGATCTGATCACCTGTCTGGAGCAAGGAAAAAATCCCTGGAATATGAAGAGACACAGTATGGTAGCCACACCCCCAGGTAGGTGAGAGTGAATAAAACAGTTGACATAGATGAAAGGTTGGAAGATTACAAAAAAAAAAAAAAATGGCAAGTCCCTATAATGTGATTTGGGAAGCTGTGTTCCAAAGCAAATAGATTCTGGGAAGCCTGAGGTGTGTGTTTCGGTTTTTTTGTTGTTGTTGCTCTCACATAGGGCCATCTTCTGTCTTAGGCTTTTAAATTCTCTAAGGAGTCTACTTTCCCTTCATTGATTTTCCTTCAAGTTTACAGTGAGAGCCAGAGTCCTCTATGGCATATAAGAGACTGCACAATCTGACTGCTTTTCCATTGTTTTGGGGGACACACAAATACCTGCATGATTTTGAGAAACTTTATGTTAAACTATTTTTTTAGTTCTCTCTTGCATCATGTCTAAAATGTGTGAGAATAGTCGTCACTGTTCTATTGGTTTTTATGTTAATTTTCTGCACATTCCATCCTTTTTTATTAGTATATTCTTGAAATATAGTCTGAAATTATAAATATGATGTCCCTCTGCTTTGTTCTTTTTCCTCAAGATTGCTTTGGCTATTCAAATTTATTGTAGTTTTTTTGTTTTGTTTTGTTTTTTGTTTTGAGACAGAGTTTCACTCTTGTTGCCCAGACTGGAGTGCAATGGCGCAATCTTGGCTCACCATAACCTCTGCCTCCAGCGATTCTCCTGCCTCGGCCTCCCAAGTAGCTGAGGCTACAGGCATGTGCCACCATGCCTGGCTAATTTTGTATTTTTAGTAGAGCTGCCTCAGCCTCCCAAAGTGTTGGGATTACAGGTGTGAGCCAGTACACCCAACCTTTTTTTCTATTTTATACTTTCATTCCATTTTGATCATAGAATATAATTCATAAAATGTCAAATTTAACAAATTTTTAAGACGCTGTTTTTGGCCTAACAGGTGGTCTATCAAAGAGAATATTGCATAAGCTATTGAGAAGGGTGTGGTTCCTCATATTCTTGAGGACTCTTCTCTATTTCTCTGTTAAAAATAATTGTACTGGCTGGGCGCGGTGGCTCACACCTATAATTCCAACACTTTGGGAGGCCAAGGCCAGCGGATCATCTGAGTTCGGGAGTTCGAGACCAGCTTGACCAATGTAGAGAAACCCCATCTCTATTAAAAATAGAAAATTAGCCAGGCATGGTGGTGCATGCCTGTAGTCCCAGCTACTCGGGAGGCTGAGGCAGGAGAATCGCTTGAACCCAGGAAGCAGAGGTTGCAGTGAGCCGAGATTATGCCATTGCACTCAAGCCTGGGCAACAAGAGCAAAACTCCATCTCAAAAAAAAAAAAAATTGTATTATACTGCCTTCAATTCCTCTCTTCACTTACTAATATTCTGTCTTGTTTTATTTTTATTACAGAAAGTGGGTTATTGAAATTTTCTACTATACTTATATTGCTGTCTAGGTGTTTCTTCCAGTCTGTCAATATTTGCTTTATATATTTGGAACCTTAGTGTGACATACACACAGACACACACACGCACACACAAATTTCTCATAGGTTCTCAGTTAATAAATCTATTATTGTTTAATGTCCTTCTTTGTCTCTTTGCAATTTTGACTTAAAATACTTCATGTAAGATATGACAGTTTTTGACTTAAGATGTAGATTTTGTAATACTATTTTGACTTCTTCTGCTCTCATTTGGTTAGTATTTGCATGCAATGTCTAAATCTATTTTGCCGCCTTCAGTATTTTTTATCATTAGATGTCAGCTGACCCTTGTAGAAAGGCAAATTGGATCTTGGTTTTTAATAATTTTAAATACATGTCTTTATTGAAAGTATGTCTCTTAATTGGAAAGTTTTCTGAAGCAAAGAGACTTACTAATTTTTTTGTTGTTGTTCTGTTTGATTCTTGTATCTTTGTCCTACATTTTCTCTCTTTCTGTTTCTCTTTGTGGCTGTTTTATTTTTACTTTGATATGCTTTTACTTCTTTCTTATTTTGTTTTCTGTATCTATACAGGTGTATTCTTTGTGGTTTGTGGGGGATTACATAAAACCTCTAAAAGATACAATATATTTCAGTCTGGTTAAAAATGAACTTTAGTTGCATGCAAAAATTTTTTCTCATTACATATGTTCTCAGATTTGTCATTGATACTGCTAATTACATTTTTTATTTTGTATATTTATTAACAGATATTTATAATGATTTCTATGCTTTTATCTTTCAAATTTTGGGGATTAGTTAAAAATTTCTTCTGTGCCATTATGATAATGCTAAGAAATTTATTTTTGTGTATGTGCATATCTTTCCCAAAAAATAATGTGTTTTAATATGATTTCGTGTTGCCTTGTTGAATCATCTTATTTTCATTGGAAGCAACTGCTTTCAGCACCTTTTATATGTAAGGAAGTGCCCATATACTTTTTAAAATTTGGTTATTTTTGAAGTTTTTTTTCTTTTTATTTAGCAGGACAAATTTGGTGATGGTGTTATACTCACTTGATAACTATTTTCTTCAGAAATTTGACTATACCACACAGTTTCCTTCTGTCCTGAAAAATTTTTGTTGAGAATCCACTGGCTATCTCATAAAAGTATTCTTGCAAATAATATCACTTTTTTTTTTTTTGAGATGAAGTATCACTCTTGTTCCCCAGGTTGGAGTGAAACAATGTGATTTCACCTCACTGCATCCTGGGTTCAAGCAGTTCTCCTACCTCAGCCTCCCGAGAAGCTGGGCTTATAGGCGTATGCCACCACACCCGGCTAAGTTTGTATTTTAAGTAGAGACGGGATTTCTCCATGTTGGTCAGGCTGGTCTTGAACTCCTGACCTCAGGTGATTCACCTACCTCAGCTTCCCAAAGTGCTGGGATTACAAGTGTGACCTACCACGCCCAGCCAACACATCACTTTAATCTTGCAGCTCCCAAGATTCTCTTTTCTGTGACTTTTAAAATTGTGCTTACATATATGTTTGATATAAGTATCTTTGTATCCTAGTTTGTCGAGTTTCTTCATTTTTATGTCATTTTTAAAAGATTTTTCAGTTATTTTTTATATTTTTACCTCCATTATTTGTTTTTTTTTGGTATTTTAAATATTTCTGTTCTTATTTCCGGTTTTCTGATTTTCTGTAGTTCTCTGTGTTCATATTTTACTCATTGAGTATTATTCAATTTATTTTTACTTTTAAAAATGAAGGTACACATCATTTTTCTTTCTGTAAATTTTATATTTTTGTTGGAACCACATTGCCCTGTTTTGTATATATTCTAATCTTTTATTAAAATTTGCACATTTACCCGCAAAAAAGGTTACCTGTCCCCATCTTTATGATGTGGCTTTCTCCTGGCACACTTCGAACAATTATCTGGGTTAGAGATTCTGAGAGTCTCTCAAACATATTCTTAGAATGTGTCTTGTTTGAAATTTTGTGTTTATTTTTTAGTTAAAGGAAATTATTTATCTTCTTTCTTAATACTCAGTAATCACTTGCTGCACCTGTGTTCTTTCTGTGGTACTGCAGTCTGTTCACTGCTATAACGTTTACCTTTGATCTCAGCAGACTCAAACTGTCATTCCAAAGTATACCACCATTTCTTTCAGCACTGTATGTCATGGGTGACAGAAACCAGTGTCTTCAAAGGCTCCCACAAGCAAGTAATAAAGATATATGAGCCGGTATTTTACTTGTGTTTTTATTTTATTTTCTTTTATTATTTTTGAGGCCACATTTTTTTAAATTGACAACTCAGTCTCTACATACGTGCAATATTGCATGAATTATAAGTGGATCAACAATTATATTATTGATACAAACTCATGAGCATTTACATAAAACTACCGCTCTAGGTTTTGGTGTGTTTTGTGCCGGCTACTTTAGTGAATAAAAGAAACATAAAGGAACTCAACTACTTGAATTCATGAGAATCAGCTTTCAAAAAAAGCATATATGTCATCTCATAGAATATTTAATACGTCAAACCCAGGAAAATCAGTAACTAAGTGACAGAAGGAACACTTTTAAAGAAACGTTGATGATAAAAATGTTAGGCTAAAATATTAACAACTTTAGCAACTGGACCAAGGAACCATAAAGTATATGCACACTGGGAATTTTAAGAAAAGATCCCCACGTTCTCTTGCACAATGAAGAACACATTCCAAAAACATAATTCTGGGTTGTTACAATGTCTTCTCTGCTACAAACCATAGTTTCAAAGATGAAAGAAACAGGATGGTAATTCACATAAAAGGGTTTTAAAATTCTTCCCACTCAAAATAAAATAAAAATAATATGATCTCCATTAAATTATAAAGAAATTATAGCAAAATGGTGACCAAATAAAGAACACAGACCATTTGCCTTCACTGACTGCCTCAGGGCAGATCATGTGTCACCTACAAGGAAGGGGAGATGCGGGTAGAGTCCCTACTCTCCCCGGGCCTGTGGAGTAGGGCTGGATAGGAGCCCTTTGGTTTCCCGGGGGTTTTGCTTCCTCACATAGGGAATTGAGGGAGGTGGGCTAGATGACTTTAAGAGACCCCTCAACTAAAAGAATCAAAGTCACCTTGAGATCCCATCTCTGAGCAGGCACATAAGGTGGCAAAAGAAATGGATTGAAAAACAGACGGATGATGTCTTTCTCACCTTTTAATACCATCACTGAGAACTAATCTGTACTATAGTTGAAGAAAATCTTTGCCCGGTACTATTAAAGGGTATGCAGTGAGGCATCTGACAATGAAATTTTTCATAAAAATGTGTAAAAAGGCTTTATTAGGTTTGGGTGGAAAGACAATGCACTGTCACGTTACTACTACCAGCAGTCAGGACGTCCTGTCTCAGATTTTAGGAGTCACCGATCTGGTTGGGAGAAATGCTGAGGGGGATGCATATTCAAGCCATTCAGTAGAGAGTTAGGGAGTGCACACTGTTCAGGAAATGGATAAACAGGTGCCCAGGAAGGCAACTTTAATGAAACTGGTTCTAAAATAAAGGATGCAAGAGACCTAAATGATCCAAAGAGAGTGATGGCTTCTCATTTTCTGTCCCCTAATGAGAATACAAACATTTCTTCTGGGATCTAACACACTAGCCTCATTTTCAAGATACATCACTTTATTTTCCCTACAAGGCAGCAGCACATTAAGCATGTGATAGTCACATGATTTCTGCAGTGAGCCCCAAGGCTTCCCCCAGCTTTCCTGGAACCTACGGCCAGAAGAGTCCTGAGATTTCAAATATTAAAGCTTTCTATACAGCCACAAGTCCCTTTGATGTTTGGGTTATTGAACACAAACTCGCTGGATAATTTGTCTTCAACATAGTCCATTTCTGTTCCTAAAAGTGTTAGCTTTGCTTTCTTTTTGATGAATACTCTGACTCCATCTTGAATAACTTCATCAGAATCTCCTTTTATCTTTGTATATTCTAGAGTATAAGAAAGGCCATTAGAGCCCCTGGTTCGGACACCGACTTTTACACCTAAATGCTCAGGCTTATCTTTTTTTTTTTTTTTTTTTTGAGACAGAATCTCGCTCTGTCTCCCAGGCTGCAGTGCTGTGGCACCATCTTGGCTCACTGCAAGCTCTGCCTCCTGAGTTCATGCCATTCTCCTGCCTCAGCCTCCTGAGTAGCTGGGACTACAGGCCCTGCCACCACGCCCAGCTAATTTTTTGTATTTTTAGTAGAGTCAGAGTTTCACTGTTAGCCAGGATGGTCTTGATCCCCTGACCTCGTGATCCACCTGCCTCGGCCTTCCAAAGTGCTGGGATTACAGGCCTGAGCCACCGCGCCCGGCCAGGCTTATCTTTAAGAAGTTGTTTTATCTTGTTTACTGCTGGAGGTGTCAGGGTGAGGGTGGCCCAGGTGGGCTGCAGTTTCCTCTTGCTCACAGCCTGGACAGTTGCCTGGATTAAGGAAGCTGACATCTTCGCCATCCTGGCACCCTAGTGCCTTGGGCCGGAGCTCGGCTCCCTCAGCCTCTCTCCATGGACACGGCGGGTGCGTTCTACCTGTGTGTTTTTTTTTTTTTTAAATATATCAAATGTTGGCAATTTACTTATTTTTTTTTCTTTCTTTTTTTTGAGGTATAGTCTCACTCTGTTGTCCAGGCTTGAGTGCAATGGTGTGATTTCGACTCACTGCTACCTCTATATCCTGGGTTCAAGCAATTCTCCTGCCTCAGCCTCCTCAGTAGCTGGGATTACAGGTTGAGCCACTATGCCTGGCTGGCAATTTACTTCTTTTTGTTTTGTTTGTTTTTTTGAGATGGAATCTCGCACTGTCACCCAGGCTGGAGTGCAATAGCGCAATTTCGACTGACTGCAACATCTGTCTCCTGGGTTCAAACAATTCTCCTGCCTCAGCCTTCTGAGTATCTGGGACTATGGGCACACACCACCATGCCCAGCTAATTTCCGTATCTGTAGTAGAGACGGGGTTTCACAATGTTGGCCAGGATGGTCTCAATCTCTGGACCTCATGATCCACATGCTTCAACCTCCCAAACTGCTGGGATTACAGGTGTGAGCCACCACACCCAGGGCAATTTACTTCTAAAAGCATTGTTATGTTGAGGAGCAGAAACAGCTGTGTTGGGTAAATGTAACAAACTTTTTTTTAATTATTATTGTATGTAACTTTTTGCATTGTGCTCACTTGGGGTACTTTAAACATTTAGCTCATTTATAATTTTTCTCAGATGTAGTTTGGTTAGTATGTTTTTGTTACATATATATGTCTATAAAAATTAGGGCCTTTCATATTTTGCTATATCATCTTGTATATGTAGTTTGTATAATGTTATAGGTTAGATTTGTAATCTATATTTATCTGAGTCTAGTAAGTGGAGTAATTTGATATTTTTATTTCTTTCAGTTAAATGTTCTCATTTTGCCCAGGACCTTTGGCCACAGCCAGGCATAAAAGATTCTTTCCAAAAAGCGATACTGAGAGAATATGGAAAATACGGACATAAGGATTTACAGTTAAGAAAAGGCTATAAAAGTATGAATGAGTGTAATGTGCACAAAGAAGGTTATAATGAACTAAACCAGTGTTTGACAACTACCCAGAGCAAAATATTTCAATGTGATAAATATGGGAAAGTCTTTCATAAATTTTTAAATTCAAATACACATAAGACAAGACATACTGGAAAGAAACCTTTCAAATGTAAAAAATGTGGCAAATCATTTTGCATGCTTTTACACCTAAGTCAACATAAAAGAATTCATGTTAGAGAGAATTCTTATCAATGTGAAGAATGTGGCAAAGCTTTTAAATGGTTCTCGACCCTTACTAGACACAGGAGAGTTCATACTGGAGACAAATCCTACAAACATGAAGAATGTGGAAAAGTTTTTAACCAGTCCTCAACTCTTACTAGACATAAGGTAATTCATACTGGAGAGAAACACTGCAAATGTGAAAAATGTGGCAAAGATTTTAAACAGTCCTCACACCTTACTAAACATAAGATAATTCATGCTAGAGAGAAACCGTACAAATGTGAAGGATGTGACAAAGCTTTCTGCCAATTCTCATACCTTACTAAACATAAGATGATTCATACTGGAGAGAAACCCTACAAATGTGAGGAATGTGGCAAAGCTTTTAATTGGTACTCACACCTCACCAGACATAAGATAATTCATACTGG